TGAACAATAAATTGGATGTAAGAAGACAGAGAAAAGCTTGAGGTTGTCTGTATTTCACTGTGGTAACAAAGTTGCTAGTGATCAGCAAAGAATTAGGATTTTTTTTGTGTCTGAATTAAGTCGAATAATCTTCTGTTTTCTGTGTCTTGCAGGTGTTTTTGCCCCCACGCTTTTCTCCAAGGCGTACGGGAACCTGGTGTGTGACGCCTGCACCAACGCCACAGGAGGAAACGCCTCGATCAACGCCAGCGGGCCGTTTGTGTGCCACAACTGTCACTACGATCTGGTCAGTAGATGTCAAGACTGCTGCTCTTTCATGGTCGGTTATATTTACATCTGCCTTTAAGACTGATTTTTGTCTTGTTTTCTCAGAAAAATGGCACTTTGTTTCGTGACCACATCCAGTGAGTGATGCTTTATTCTTATAGCTTTTCGTGATTAAATTTAAGACTTTTCCAGATTCGAGTTCTCAATTTTGTGTGTTTTTTTTAAATAAAATATAAAAGAGTAAAAATCAGATATTTCTACTGTTGATGGGCTAAAACTGTGGAAAGACACCAAGCTGAATGAAAGGAGAGGGAAGAAGAAAGAAAGAAAAGAGACAAGGACTTAAAATGGTAACATCACAAGAAAATAAGGACGGACATGGGGGAGAAAAAGTTTTCAGTTCTCTGTGTTAATTTTGTAAATGTAAAACACTAAAGATCAGTGTTATGCCAGCTGTTTCAATAATGGTTGGCTAAATACGTGGAACCTGGAAAAAATTGGAAACAGGGAAAAAATCACACAAGGAAGGAAAGTTGGGAAAGAAGGACAGAAAGAAAAGAACGACAGAAAGGGCACAAGGTAAATGTAAAAGCATGAGAAAAGAAAAGAATACAAGGAATGGAAGAACAAAGAACGTAAGGAAAGAAGGATTGTCACTGGAAAACCAGGAAAGAGATGAGGAAGCAAAGAAAGAACACAGGAAATAAAATATGGAGTGATGGAGGGTGGGAATAAGGGGACAAGAAAGGAGGAAAAGAAGGTGGTTTGACAGAAAGACGTAACTTGTAGACAATAGTAAAAGGACAAAGTCTTGAAAAATGTTGATGCTCTTCTTCGGGATTTCACAGGAGTTCAGACAAGCCTTTGTGTTTGGCTGTGTTCTTGTTAGGCCTCTGGTGTACACCGTGTCCGCCCTCCTGCCTGCTGCCTACATCATTGGACTGATATTCACTCTGAAGACGCATTCGCACATTTACAACATCCATGTTGGAGAAGGGCAGGGTGAGACTCACACACACGACTCCCATCGAACAGCAAACTAACAGCGTTTCATTGTTCCTGTTCAGGGCAGAGCTTTACACACATACAGAGCTGTGAGCAATGTTTGAGATGTACTGCATCGGATGGTAAATGCTGTTAGATTGTTTGTACGGATTTAGATGGACTATCAAAGAAACTTGATGTTAGCCAGACAAAAAGTTCTGCTGTCTGTTTGGGATCCTGTAGTTAAACTCATCTGTGTCCTCATTTCAATCATCTAGAGATTGAAATTTGGATGTCATCCTTCTTCTTTCATATCCCTGCCTGTTTGTACCTCTGAGAGCAAAACAGCCCCTCAGCATGAGCCTCCCTCCTCTGTGCTTGTTGTCATTGAGACCAAATAATTCAATCATGGTTTCATTTGAGGTTAAAACCTTTTTCCAGAATATGTTTTGGCGCAAAAGCTTCTTCTTCAGTCTGATGGTCAGGTGTGTTTTGGATTAAGATGGGCTTGATTTCTGGTGGTTTATACATTTTTCTTGTTCATCAGTGATAGCAGTTTTTGTTGAGATGGTTGAAACTTTGATGCATGGAGGTGGATGTTCTCAAGCTTCCCCCCAAAAATGGTTTGGAACGGATAAAAAAACATAACAATAAGGTCCCGACTTTAACAGTGCTGAGCTTAGACTTATAGGGAAGTACTGTAGAAAATAAATATGGCCCCACATCAATGTCAAATCCATTCCGGTTTGCAGTAAACCCTGATGTTCACACTATAATTTGTGTCTGATCAGAGACCGGTCATCATGGGACGGTGGTCCACTGGTCCCGCTGGAGGTCTCTGCTCATCCTCATTGTGGCCACCGTTCTGACGTCCGCTTGTGCCGACCTCGCCACCGAGCACATCCAGCCCATCCTCAACCAGCCCAACGTCTCTCAGGTCGGTCTCCCGCCATCTGAGCACGCTCAGACTCTTCCCTGACTGTGCTGACCCTCCCTACATCTTTCCTCCTGCAGTACTTCATCGGGGTGACGGTTCTCGCAATGGTCCCCGAGATCCCAGAGATTGTTAATGGGATCCAGTTTGCGCTTCAGAACAACATCAGCTTGAGGTCACTTGAGTCGTACTAGAGCTGGAAAGCTACAAACTGGTTTCTATTCCTTAACATTTGCTGTGTTTCCTCCCCAGTTTGGAGGTTGGAAGCTGCATAGCTGTGCAGGTCTGCATGCTGCAGATTCCAATACTGGTCCTTTTTAATACCTTCTGTGTATGTCACTTTCCTCCTTCTTCTTATAATTAGTTCACAAAAATTTCAACTGATAACCTGTTTCTGCTTTTGTTCAATAGGACGTGGGCTTTGTGCTGCTCTTCAGCGATCAGCACCTGTGGGCCAGCATTTTCAGTGTCATTCTGGTCAACTACATCTTCATGGATGGCAAGTCGGATTATTTCCAGGGTGAGTCCTGATCAGCTGGATGCTTACTAAATGAAATTAAGACTCGGGGCAACAACGCACATCAGAGGTGTTCATCTGAATGATTGCTTTATTTACAGTGTCTGATTCTAGCCTTTAAGAGTTAAACCGCAGATTCAGTACAAAGGTTACATAAACAGGACAGGAGTATTAAAACTACCTAAAGTAAAATGCAAACTATGTTTTGTAAAATTCTTCCTGCAGGATCAACTCTGACTGTGTGTGAGGTCACACCAGCAATAAAATATGTGGAATGGTTGCATGATAGTTCCTCAACTGAGAGTCTGTGTACACATTTCTACATCAATAGGGAAATTTGGGCTAATATTAATATAGCCGATATTTACCAGTACTCTATATTACGTACATTTCACTACGATTTTGACTCACATGATGTGAGTCACATCTGCTTCTGTTAAACAACCCAGTAAAAAACATAAATATTGGGTATTAATACCATCCCAGTTTTACTTTTGGGACTAATTATGTTAAAAATTACAACACATCAGCTGGGATCTGCGTTAATATATTATGCTTTCTGATCCACCTCTTAAGAAAATTTGTACTTTTCTGTTAACTTAAAATCTAAATGTTACTGTTAATCTGCAACTTTTTCACCAAGTTGATGGATAGAAGTTGCAAAAAAATAGAATCCCTTTGAAAATGTTAAAAAAAATAAATAAATAAAACTGTATCTATATTTGAAGATTAAACATGTTAAAATCACTTTAGAGTTGTTTTGATATTTCAACTGCCTGGTGTTGTACCTGAATGCAGCATGTGCAGGTGGTAGAAAATCCCCTCTCATCATCTCCGATTCCTTAGATTTGCATCTCATATGTTGTTTGTTTGGGTTCAGAGTTAGCTGGTTACTCTGACCTGGGGTTCTGGTTCTGGGCTGCAGCTGCATGAAAAATATTACTGTTCCCAAATTGAGCTTAGCAGTGGCTGGGAACCCTCTCAAGTTTCATTTTTATCATTGCTTTTTAAAGTTGCGCTCACTTGGTTTGACACTTGGACATGCTGCTTGTGTTCAGAACAATGCAGCATTCATTTGTTTGTACTGGATATTTTGGTACAACTAAATTACCTCTATATCATAGTTAAAACTCAAGGCCCATGGATCAAATCGTGCCCACCATAGTTTATGTGGCCCTGATATTAAAACAAAGCAGCTTTTATCTGCTTACTGCCAAATTGCACCAATCAATCCCTACAGTTTGAGAAATATTCTGGAAATTCACACAAAATCAACAAATCCTCACACTTTTAAGTTTATTGCAGATTTTTCTCAAAAACATATTCAGTGGTAAGATTTTTTTATATTTTAACAGCTTGTGAACAGATTTCATCCATACATTCTGGCACAAGCGGCCCTTTGAGAGCGTTCATTATCTTGATTTGGCCCAAAATGAAAATGAGTTTGACACCAATGTGATGGAGGAAATGTCTCGGCAGCTTTAGTTTATTTCCACTGTGAAAGCAACCTTTGTGTCTCTGAAATTTCACAATTTGTTTTTTTACTTTTGATCATTTTTGTCTCTTCAGGTACAGCCCTGGTGGTCGTCTACCTCATCCTCCTGGCTTCGTATTACTTTGCTCCGTCTCCATCTGGCTGTTGAGAACAGAATCAAGTTTCATCTCAATTAGGACTTTTTAAAAAAAAAATTAATATGAAGGACGCCAAATGAGCAAATATCAGTTGCACAGAATCTCTGTGGGGGGTTTTTTGAGTGTTGATGGGTGAAATCTTGAAGAAAATCTGAAGCATTTTCTCCATGCAAACAAAATTAACTCAGGTAGGCACCACTAAATGCACTATTATAACCTGTGAACTATATTGATGTGTAATGTATAGGTTTACTGAGTTTATTTATTTTAAAGAAATATTCCCTTTTTAAAAATATGAATGACTAAGAAGTAGTATTTTTAAACTGGTACAAACTATATTTAAAGCACTTCCAGAAAGAATTGTTAAAATTTGTAAAAGTGAATCTCAATAAAAGTTAATTTATGCAGTTTGCAATAATTATAACAGCAGTTTATTTTTGTTACATTTTATGATTTGGTTCAAATTTAGGTATACATAAAACATGAATTACAAAAAAAAAGGGGGGGGCTTTGGATAATCAAATTTAACAAAGTTTGAAATATCTCCTTTTCATTGTTGAACTCTAAGTTTTTCTGTTTGAGTTGAATAAGTTTTATTACATGGTTGATGTAGATAACCTGCATATTACTGCAATCTGAGAAGAAATAAAACATATCTCCACAAGGTCTCTTAAAAAAAACAAAAACAGCTGCCTGTTTTTATTGTGTGCACAGACCAGAGAACAAGATTTACAAAACAACGCAGCCATATTTTTCTCTGATGAGACATTCATTTGTTCCCCAGAGGATTCTGTACAAAGCGACATGCAGACCATATGCAAGCAAGATTTCACTTTCACAGACGGAATTAAAACTTAATCAGGCCGATACTTTTGAGCTTCAAGCTTAAATAAGGCCACAAAATTAAAAACAAAAAAAAGAAGAGGATGGGGTTAAAACAATTCAAAAGCATCAACAGTAACAGATTTGGTGACAAATAAAAGGCCTGTCTGGAAACAACACAGTATCGCCCAACTAACTCCCAAGTTTTCCTACGTTTGGTTCGTCTGCAGAGAATTTCACACCCATCACAGTTTTTAATATCCTGAGTACGTCACACGCACTGACGAGGACTGCAGAATTACACAGCAGCTTAAATCTGTTCACAACACCCCCTACAGAGAGACCGAACATAAACATTACAGCTTGTTACAATGCAAAAACTGGAAATGGGATCAGGAATAAAAAAAAGAGGCAATTGATACAGCACTTGTCACCAGTTGATGAAATGAGCAGCACAGTGTTTCAAATAAATAATTAAAAAGTTTATGTAAAGTCTGCTGGAGTTCCTCCTGAGGAACCAGGAACAGTGTCTGAAGGCTCAAGTGTGAAGCACCGTCGCCGTGGTTAAAAAAAAAAATCTAAAACATACAAATAAAGTTTGAATAATCTGAAGTTTGAGGAATAAAAAGGCACAGAATGCATAAAGGAAAATAACAGAACTGTGGTAGATATCGTGCAAATTCATGACCTAGATAGTGGGTTCCTATTTCCACCTCTGAAAATGTAACAGAAAACCAAGTACAGGGAAAACAAACAGTTTCCAGACTTTTTTACTAGTTTTTAAAATGTCAGAAAATACAATTTTTTAAAAGATATTTCTTGAAACCTTTATTTTTTGTCTTAGATGTTTCCCATCACTAATTGAGTGACATTTGTTGGCAACTTTCGATTTTTGAGTTGCCAACGAATAAACAGAACCAAAAAGGATCCATTTTGGTTCTTTTGTATGTTTTAGTAAACAAAGTCTAAGTTTTTGAAGTACTCCTGGCTTAGTCATAACAGAATGAAGTATAAAAATTCACACTTTGTGTTATAAAGAACTAAATTTAGTCCCAAAAGATCCAAATTAGATTAGATGCTCAAATAGTAGTGGAATAGCCCTTTACTGCACTCTTAGCTTTGCCATTCTAAAAACATGGAGCAGAAAAATCTGGAAATGTGTGGATTTTTGTACTGGAAGCAGCGTAGGAACCCAGAGGAAATGAAATGGTTGTAGAGGCACCACAAGTTTCACAGTGAGCCTTTAAAAAGAGGCTGCTGGGTTTTCCTCTGATCCCAGAAGCAAAACATTATCAATGGATTATTTGTCAGTTTGAAGTGCTCAATAGCAAAACACATCATAGCATCTTAAATAACTTCCCCAGTTAGATGTCATCTCAGATTTGTGTTCAGTGGGAACACGTAGAAACCAGATGCAGATTTCATCTGCAGCGAAATGTGGTCAAAGTGAGGAATCTCATCAGACTCAGCACTGGGCCCAAAAGACAGCAAAATGTTAAATCACACTGCCTGCAGCCATATTTAGTTTGTTTGAACTTTTTTTTTGTATTTACCTTAATATTTCACACATTTCTGGGACACAGAAAGGAATGTGCACAGGTTTTAAATTACAAGTCAAGTTTTATATGTGCACCTCCTTCACTGCCTGGGATGGACATTTGAATTTCGGACAGAAAAGAACAAAGTATTTTCCCAGCCAAACGGCACCAAGCTGTCTTTGACCTACTTACAACCAACGTTAGTGTCAGTCTCCATCCGTCCCCGGTGGTTGGTCTGTGTGTTCAGCCTATCTGAGCCTCTGAATTAGTGAATGCGTTAGTCCCAGGCTCAGCAGCTGAAGGGTGGACAGCTGCATCAGGTGAGGGAACGATTTCAACAGCTTCTCCCAGGTCATTTCCAGCAGACTGGGCACCACCAGCCACACTTTATATAGAGAGGCAGTCCTTTGGTTCCCAGAGATGTTGACAACACCGCCGTGGATGTACATGCAGCCAGCCTGCAGGAGCAACAAACAAACATTAAACCAGTGGAAGGGCAATTCTGTGGCCCAAAGCTCTGCACATAATGACCTCATGAAAACTACATGAGCTGGGTTTAGCTGACGAGCTGCTACTCTGGAGAATTACAATACTGTGCAATTTCCTCTGTTTTAGGGCTTAAACAATCAAATAAATTGTGATAAATCAATATCGGAAATATTTGTGAATTAATTTAGTAATCAATCATTAAATGAAGTAGACTCAAAAAATAGGCCATTGGCTGGGGAAACACTCAGCAGCAATCCAGCCAAAACTGTACAAAAAAATAAAAAATGTTGCATTTAAGAGAAAAACAAACACCTTTGTCTGTAAATATGTCCTACCCAGAACATCTCAAGCAGAATAGCTTTAGCTTAATCTGGTTCAACTTTTGTAATAATAAAAAAAAACCCAACAAAGCTCAGCGCTGATTTCTGTAAGGACACCATCAGAGCAGCAACTGAACTTTACAAAGATCTGCTATAGTAAACCAACGGCTGAAAATCAGCCACTGAATTCTGATCGACTAAAATGTAATCCATTAATCAATTGTTCAGATGTAGAAAACTCTCGGCGCCACGTTACTGACCGGAGTGACAGCTGCGGAGTGAAAGTAGGCCGGTTCCGGCATCACGGCGGGCAGCTTCGTCCACTGAAAAGTCTGAAGGTTTATCTTCCACAAGTCCGACAGGATGAGCTCGCCGTTATAACCTCCACATATAAACACGTCTGAACGCACAGACAGGCCAAGATAAAAGGTTAAATTCAGCATTTCAGGCGTGTGTCGTGTTGATGTGTGAAAGCCTGCTTACCGTCTTTGACCTGAACACAACTGTGACACCTGCGAGGAGCAGGATAACCTGGAGTGATGAGATTTAAAATCTTAACACAGTTCATAGAAAACAACAATTTGCCTAAAAGAGGAGGAAGAAAAACAAGAACATACCTGTATCTTCATTGGGTTTGGTTAAAATTTCTTCCCAGTAATTAGTTTCCAAGTTATATGCATGAATCTGATGAGCAGAAATGAAATTATGAAAATACACACTTAAAAGTTGAATCCAAACCTTTACTCATTAAAGATAAAGATACAAAATGTTTATCTTTCTGTCTGACATTAAACCAGACTAAACTTCTCCTGTTTAGGCGAGTTAGGACTACTAACCTACAATGAAATGACTAATTTTTAGAGACTGCCAGTTGTATGATTAAACTATCACTGAAATGTTTGTTCATAATGACATTTATTAGCATCTGGAGGAAAAAAGGAGAAACTTGAGACCATATTCCAACTGTGGGGGACAAGAGTAGCAGCATCGAATTGTGAGGGGAGACGGAAATGGAAAAATTAAGACAATTTATGATATTAGCCAGAAAGTTTATGCTTAAAAGAGAAAGATGTGGAGTTAAATAGGAGTGTTTGAATAGTGTGATTAACAAACCCGACGCGGATACATCAGTTCTGCTTGAAGGAAAGGCCAAATCTCCAGATTATTGAGACAAAGTCAAGGCAGAAAACCAAAATCATTTGATTCAAGTCATACAGTTTGAAAGGCAATGCTATCAAAAACTAATGAAAGACTTTATTATTCTGACATTTAGCAACTAGAATAACTCTGCTACCCCATCTGACTCCAAAGGAAAAAAATATTTAATCTAGTTTAATGTCAGACAGTGAGGAGTTCAGGCCAAGTTTTTCCATTCTTGTTCTTCTTACTTTATCTAATGGATATGACATCCATGAGGTTCCACCTCCTAAAATGTATATCCTCTGTCCATCTTGAGCCAGCTCATGTCTGTACCTGAAAAACAGAACTCGATCCGTCTTTATCTGCTGTGATATTCTGGACATGACGGTCAGAATAAACCCAGTGGGCGAGTCTGATGGCTCTGAACTCACTGACCTCTCATCAGGTAGATCTCGCTTTGCGTTTTTGGGCTTGAGGTGGGTCCACTCCCTGGTGCTCAGATCCAACCGGTGCAGGTCGATGCTGTAAAGGTAGCCCGTCGTGCCTCCAAACACGTATAGGTAGCCATTTATAATGACCATCGCCTGGAAACAAAGCGTCCGATGAGAGATTGGTAAATGAAAACACCAACACTCATCACAGCGTTGAGGTCTAGACAGAAATGGTACCTGTCCATAGATCTTGTTTGGTTTCTTCCCCTTGCAGTTCAGCAGGTTCCATCGTCTGTACTGGACGTTGCAGATGTGGATGTCGTTGCTGTTGTTTTCACCAAAGGGAATCCCGGTGCCACCAAACACAAGCAAGTTGTTGCCATCCAAGACAGCTAAGAGGCAAAACATGATTTAACTCCGATTCTCGGCATAAAGCTGTAACAATATAAAACCACAGGACAAAAATCAATCTCCAAGTTTGCATATTCATACACGCCTGTGTAGTTATTTAAGATTAGCAGAACCTGCAAATCGGAAAATTACCATAGTGTAACACATTTCCTCTCTCCTGACATACTCAGCAGCAGGTACAAAGGAAATAAGAGACATACTTAAAGAAAATACTTAAAGAAAATACTTTAAGTGAAGACAAAATTAAGGAAGACATTCACCCTAAAATATACAGGCAGTATTTATTAGGCATCATGATCCACATTAAATCTAATTTAAGAAAACAAGATCCTGCAAACCAGCATCTCACTCCAATAAAGAGGCAATAATTGATGGAAATATAACTTAAGATGCAGCCAGCTGCTGTTTTCACTTAGACTGTCTTTAATTAGAGGTCCAAAAACTCACTAATCACACAAACCAATATTCTAGGTTACTTGAATTTTAAGTATGAGAAGCTTGACTTTCATTTACAGCATATTTGTGTGCCCACACTAGCCTGCTCATATTTCCACCGTGCCACGTCTGTTCTTACCTGACATGGACGCCAGCTCTGTGGGCATGTAGCCCTCTGTGCGGATCTGCTGCCAGGTGGCTGTGGCGAAATGAAACCGCCAGAGTTCCCTGAAGAGAGGGTAGTCCTCATTATCCGACCCGCCCGCCTCCTCGAAGTCGGGGTTGTAGCCTCCGAACACATACAGGTTAGAGCTGTCTGCAACGCAGCGGTGTCCACTGCGGGCAGAGGGTATGCAGTGTCCTGTGGGAAAAGTTTGAATCTTAACCAGCTGCAGACTCTCTCTGGAATCGTAGGGAACAGACTCTATCCGTCAACCATCTCTTTTCCCTGGAGTTTCAGTACCTTCTTTCAGGAACCTGAAGGGGATCCGGAGGTTGAGGCCGTTTGGGGAGAAGATGCGCCGAGCCTGAAGCCATCGTGCTCGCTTCTTGGAGCCTGAAAACACAGAAACAAAGTCAAGAGTCAAACTTAAAAGAACTTCAGCTGACCAAAGTGCTACATAAGCTATGATACAGGTTGATAACTGGGGTAATAATAATAAACAAGATCAACGTTTTTCTCTTCTTATAGGGCGAAACAAAATAGCACATAACTATGAAATGGAAGGGAACTGGTTTACTTGTTTTTTTTTTTTTTTAACTTTATTCACAATTTTTATTTGGCCTCATGTAGTTGAACTGCTTTTTGCTTTAATTACAGCAGCAGACTTTGAGAGTTGTGCCAGTAACTGCTCTGCAGTTACTGGCATTTTTCTTTGTGAAAAGCTCAGTCAGATGGCATTTCACTCTACAGATCTTTTCCTGCTAAAGAGGATTTTTTGTGGGGATGGAGTTTTGACACAGTGCAAAGCCTATAGACAAAAAGTTATATTTAGGTCTTGTCTGAGCATACGTGGATATTATACTTCCCCATGTTTGCAGACTGTACCCCAGCTTGATCTCTGCTAGTCTCTTGGTTTTTCCACTGCTCGGTCCATCACAGCAGCAGTAAACACCACTATCTTTAAAAATATGATTCCTTCCAGTTAATGGGCATTATTAAGTGAAATTGTTTGCAGCTTTGTCCTGATTTGTTCCTTCAGCATCTTCCCATTACGCTGCCACGTGCTCTTCACGGTTTGACGAAAGTATATCAATAAAAGTGCTAATAAAAACCTTTTGTGATGCTTCCGTAGCAGCGGTGGCTAACTCCGGCCTGTGGCTAAAGCTAACAGATTGGGAACAAAGAAAACTCCCATTGTGTCAACTTCACGTGCAAAACCGCAACATACAGTCACAATCAACAAAACAACTCCCCTTTGGCTTGTTGGAGGTGCTACGCGCTATGCTGTTGCTAGCAACTGGTTTTGTTTACAAACCTGAATCGCGGGCAGAGGGCCGCCACGACAGTTTTTGAAACTCATTGAGGTGACTGGAGGTTCCGTTCGGTTCGAGCGACGACATTTCACTGGAGACACAGACACAGAGGCGGTTCACAGTACCAAGAACTGGATCGGAACCGGACTCCCTCTGACTATAGTCCAGGCATCCGACAGCGAGAGGCGAGCACCAGCTTCCCAGCAAAATAAAACCGACAGGCGCTGCTCACAGGTAACCAGCTGATCTGAATCGACCAATCAGAGGGCGAGGAATGGTTCGTGTTGCGTTCAAGAGCCGCACCGCACCTGGTGTTGACAGTGACAATTAATCTGGATTGAGATAATTTATTTTGATAAATAGATTATTTCAGCTGCTGTATTGATTGTAGAATTGTTGAATTCTTCTGAGCTTGAATCGTATTTTAATCAGCCTCAACACTTTTGTCTAAGACGTCCAGGATATGTGGCGAACCACTTTTAAAACAGTTTGAGGCAATGAGCTGGTTTGAGTGGCTTCTTTTCATAATGCATATCAAGCATCAACAGTCCCCATCCTGTGCTGCTGCTCTGCTGTCATGCAGAAATCTGGATTTTGACCTTGTTAAGTAGACTTGGAGACATAAAACAAAACAAGCATCTTAATCCTATGCAAAACTTTTATCACCTCATTCACATCAGGTGTGAAAATCAGGATACAGAATGGTTAAGTACAACAGAACATTTGTTTTTTTTACTAAATGTAACTGACATAAATTACTCTGTGGACACCTATCTGGGTGTGAATGGTGCATCTTTTAATGCACCATTGTTCTGATTTATTGATTAGATTCGGATCACTCAGTAAAGAATCGGTGGGTCCAGACAGACTGATAATCTGGCTCCTTTCGTCTCTTTACTGAATGCACAAAGTTGTAACAGAGGAAATCTGATCTCCCAGCTTGTCAAAATTGGCACAGTAAGCCTCTTCACAAAAGACGCCACGCAACAAACTGAAATGAGGTCATATTTTTAGCTGAAGGTACACCAGAGACATCTAAATTACATGGAGTCATATTTCAGCTTTTGTTCAGTACTGTTTTAAAATTTCTCTGTTTTCTGTTTCAGCAGGGAAAATGAACAGTTCTGGGGGAAAAAAGCAGACATTTCTGAATTTCTTATTTTTCCTATCAGGAGGTCTGCTAAAACAGAGGAAATAAAACCCACATTATCACCTCATCTCTGACCAACAGTGCTTTAGATGTTGTATGTTCAATGTGACATCACACTTACTGGCAACAAAATGCAAGCTCCAAGTTCAACATCCAAGAGGAATGGTCAGATTTAGATGTGATTCAGTTCACAAGCAATGGGCGCATCTGGAGAGAAATGAGTGGCAGCATCACAAGAGGAGCTATGTGTTGCAGGCGGTTCCTGGAGCAGCCAAAAGTCTGACAAACCAAGTGAAATAAACAAAAAGAAAAAACAAGACGCCGGTATCTGTACGATTGTGCCATTGAAATCTCCAGCTGGACAGCAGGTTCTTCTCAGTACCATACCAGACAAGATGTTGTCAGTCCGCTCAAGAACCCTCTGCTTTGAATATTGACAAGTTCTGACAACGCTGTTCCTGCATCAGTGCTACTCCAGACAAACCTGTACCTCTGTGTCCAGTGCACATTGAAATGATCTTTAATCAATAATAAATACATAACATGACTATATGAAGTCATTTTTCAAGCCTGTTTCAATGTTTTCTCTTGATTTCAAAAAATGCTTGTTTTGATTTGCCTGTATCTATCAAAAAACTGCCACCTCACTCTAGCATTATGGCGCTCTGCATGTTGAGCAATGTCTTGCAAACTCAAACTAAAACTCCTAAAAAACTGTTAAAGCTGGTAAAAAAAAACATTCCCAGGGAATGTTTTTCGGTTCATGTAAAATGCCTCCTCTGTGTCTTCTGACCCTCACTGACTGCTTAGACTGACAGTCACATGCTGTGGACTCTGCCTGAACACATCACTTAACTTATGATGCCTTTGGCTTATGGGCTCTCCTGCCTGCCATTTGAAAATATTATTGTGTCCAGATCCAAGTTGCAAATAAATCATAAAATGAGAGTTCAGTTGTGTTTTCAGTGAGGAGATTTCAGCTCACAATGAGGGAGCTGAAGTGTGTAAATGCATATTTTTAAAATCTCCTTTCTATCTGTATTTTAACATATTGTCAGAGATGTTCATCAATGCAAGATTATATCAACTGTGACTGTCACTCCGAAACATTGCTTCACCTTAAGTAAAATCTGGAAGGACTTATTTATCCCTTTTTACAAATAAATGATTTCAAGTAAAATCTGTATCAAATTAAATGTAGTATTCTTCTCACACTACTCAGCCTTGTTGTTTGTATTCATTATTGTGATGAACTTTGAGATTTATTCTAAGGATTCAGTCACTATTAAATACAACAAACTTACAAATTCTAATTCCAAGTAAAAACAAACCAGACATTTTATTTTGTACACTTATTTTGTAAGTATACAAAGTATGATTAGCTGATTTTATACATGCAACAATGAGTTTAGATGATAAACTGATCACCTCCACACATAATGACGTTTCTGCAGCACATTTCCAAGGATAACTAATTTGACACAGAATAATAAATTGTCCAGCTAGTGAAGGGTGTGTCTTTTCTGGACAGCTGTCATTCACATTCCCCCTGACAAATTTCACAAATTTTCCATAGTTTTTACATCAGGTAAGTTTACAGTCTAACCAAACACAATGATGAGATCATTATTGCAGGCATTTGTCCTTTTGACTAAGTTTAAAGTCGACAAGAACTGCTGGAAAATGAAGTCAACCTCTTCACAAAGCTAATCAGCAGAAAGACGCTTGAAATGCTCTGAAATCTCCTGGTATACTGATGTGTGGCTGTGTGCCTCAACCAACCAGGATTATGAGCTGTTATGCTCTTTTTCCAGACTCTGGGATTTGCTATTACGTCTTCTTTTCCAGTCAGTTTTTTCTTCTACTGAACTTTCCAGTAAGTTTGAACAGAGCACTTTGAGAACCAGCCAGCTTGACCTTTGTGGCTTACCGCCATGGTGGTTGGTGATGGTAACAGTTTGCACTTCTGTGGAGTCAGCAGTCTTTCCTGTGATTGTAGGGACTCTACAAAACATTTCTGAATTTAAAATAACTCCCCTTGGCATTTTTATTAACTTTAAAACAATCAGAAATTAGTTCTTGAAAGCTTATTGGAGTTTCACTTTTTAAAAAAAACTAAATTAACTTTTCAATTATCTTCCGATTTATTAAGCTCCACCTGTGGACACCGGAACTATTCAATATCTAATCATGTTTATGGTTCACGTCGTTCACGTGACACAACTTGTGTCTAGTGTGCTTATTCACGGCTTCCATCGAGGCGGCTTGAGCGCAGATCTAGGTTTACTAGAACAGCACGCACTTTGTGCTGTAGCCTCGGCTCGAGCCACCTTTCCATAAAAAAACACAAAGAAAGGCGACTTTTAACCTCAAGCATCGCTTCCGATCCCTCCAGGAGAGTCGGCAGTGTCATTTGGACAGTTGATCAGCAGTTCGCAGAGGGTGTGTGCGCGCTCCCGGGCTGTATTTCTGTGCCCGAGCCCCTCCTCCGGTTGGTTCGGCCGCTGGAGGTGGATGTCGCTGGCAGAGAGTCTTCAGGACAGGACGCAACTAGGTAGAGCTGGCCGGGGAGGAGGAAAAAGACAGAAATAGGCGATGTTGATGTCCTGTTTATGGAGGCTGCGGGCAGGCTGCTGCTGCTGCTGATAACAGTCCGGTGGCCTTGGCGGTGCTGTCAGGCTGAAAGGTGAAGGTAGTCCAGGAGCCGCAGGAGTATTTTTAGATCTCTTCTTTTGAGGTACACAAAAATGTCGTCTCCAAGTCCGGGCAAGAGGCGAATGGACACCGACGTGGTGAAACTGTATCCTTTTTCAACCGAACGTGGTCAAATGAACCCGACACGTCTCTTGGCGACTATTGCCAGCTGTTTGGTGGCGATTATTTACATTTGTTCGCTCGGGCTGGCAGCCGTGTTCTGTTTTTAAGTGTTTTTACTTTGACGTTCCTGGCAAGGGTCTGTGTCTAACAGCAGCTAACTGCCCCAGAAGGCGAATAAGCTGTGAATTTGGAGCAGTATTTGTTGAACCAATGCCATATATGTTATCGGTATGTTAGCTGTAGTCGTTCTGCTTGTTTCCACAGTGAATTAGCAACGGAAACTGTCGCAATACAACGATGGCTGTTAACTCTGTTAGCTTGCAATGCTGAAGTCGGTATCCGATTTGTGTGGCTTCTAATTCAGCACTTCAGTAAAGGGCTATGTCACTGAGACCTGGATTCACTTTAATCAGATATATCTCAACATCTACTTTACTTATAACAGTCTAAGTTGAACTTATTTGTTTTTACCTTGATAACAGATTATTATATATGAACTCTGGGCTTTACACTCTTATTTTTACCTGTACTTGCGTTTGCATTAATGGAAGAAAGGATTTGCAAATCACAAGATGTGTTTTACAGTACATATAGTTATAGTTAAACATTTCAGTCCTACTTTGACTTGTAGAAGTGTTTTTTTTTCTTTCAAGGTGGACCAATTCTCAAACTCATTTCAAACTAAAATATTGAAATGGGAAAAGGTTCAAACAATCCCCTTTTATTTTCTGTCACAGAATAGAGCTTTCATAAATCCCAAAGTGTGTTTTTTACAGGTTTTACTTGTTTAATAATGTCTGTTTTCAAACACATTTCAGGGTAATGTCAGGCTAATGTCATAAAACGGTCCATAAACTATGCTTCACGGAATATTTTGTCAGTGGAGAATAATTCAGTCAAGGTTTGACTTGTTTCGAAACTGGGTTTGAAGCAAGACCCATCAGAAGTGCTGTTCGTGAAACAACAAAAAAAAACAATCTTTATCTGTATTTTTACAGAAAGCAAAATGTCCATCAATCATAAGCTGACCTCTACTGAATCTGTGGATTGTATAAAATTATTCAGATAGGATTTCATCATCCTAAACATTGTGGATTTTGAATCAGATCAAAAGTAGTTCAGGCTCCTTAAAAACTATGAAACTCGGAAGATACGAATCGCACGCTAACTTCAGCATCCGTATTAGCTCTGAACATAGTTAGCCTCAGCTTTAAAGCGTCAAGTTAACATTTTCACCAACAACTATTCGTTCTCACTAACTGACAACACGTTATGAAGTACGAGCGAGTGATTTTCTACATTCTGGAGACACTTCTCCGGGAAGACACGGGTGTTAAATGTTCATTTTGTTAACGTTTACGTCGCGGCAGTTAGCTGTAGCGTGCTACCGTCAGAAGAGAACAATCAAACTCGATCAAGAGTCGATTCCGATTAAAATCCTGACGCAGCTGCAGGGCCTGCGGTGACCTTTCAAAACAAACGGCCTGTACTTCAAAAATGTTTTTTTTTTTTTTTCAAAAATAAAAGTGGCTGGACTCATATGGTTGATTTAAATTAAAAACAAAGCAGAAATTCTTATTATAAATAATAAGAATTAATGAGCGTTGGCGTGTTTTACCTTTGATAATTAAGTGAAGGAAAACAAAATCTTCAAAATGTTATTTTAAGTTTCTACAATAATGGGTTAAAAAAATGAGCACGACTGTCGTTTTCATAAATATATGAATATTTGTACCCCCCTCCACCCTGAGGCTTTTATAATCATGTTTAGTAAATAAGCTGTGGAGTATTTAATTTTTTATTCTAACACGTATTCTGGGGCATCAGCGGAAGTAAATTTTTCCTCCTTTAAAGGTTTAGTGGAAGCGTGTGCTGAATTGTTTTGTTTTTGTCCTGCAGCTTCATGCTGCTCTCTGACTGGCCAGCCTGTTACCATCCGGAACCCGGTAGAAGGCGGGCCTTCGGCGCACAGCTGACGGGGGACAACAAGCGTGCTGTAGGGGCGCATCACGCGGGGCTGGAGGGCCGGGGGACCGGGGGACCGGGGGACCGGGGGTCTGGGAGCGTCCCTCCTCGGGCAGGGAATGGACGGAGCTACACACACTCTGCAGGATGAGTGCGCTCAGCAGGTTTTTGCTTAAAGCTCGAGGTGATGACCCGTCAGGTGGATCAGTGGAAATCGGTTGATTTACAAATGAAGCCGAAACTTTCACTTTAGGGGGAAGGAAAAGTTTAGGAATAGAAATGTTGTTGTTGTTTTTTTCCCCCCCATGAACAAATGATTACTTAGAAATTGGACGTTTTACAAAAATTTTTTTAGTTGGAATAAAATGTTACTTTTTATTTTAAAATTGTTTCTACACCGATTTGCGGCCATCTTCCACATTTTATAAAGTAAAAAAAGTACTTGCATACAATATATTATAAATGTCAAAGTAGTAAAGTCACACAGGACTGTTTGGAGTGCAATTATTGTTGACTAAAATACTAAATATTTAAAGTACCATGATATTGATAATGTGGCATGGTGTCTTGCTTCACACCTGACTAATATGGAGTATTGGAAGAACACACAAGGAGAAAAATATGGATTTATTTCAGCTAATTTTGTGATGTTTACTAGTAGTATCACCACTATGTTAAGGTTAGGGTTGATTTTTACCATCTTTAAGGGTATTTTGTAACTGCTTAGAAAATTTATAATTTAAGAGATTTTTCTACAAACTACTCAAAACTTAGATGGTATTTTGAAAGGTATCTGACAGATATATATTTTTCATTTTTTACCATGATTAAAGATGCAACAAATAGTCCACTAATGATCGATTCTGTTAAATTCCCCTTAACAGACTGAAATATATTTTTTCCACATCAAACAATTTAAGTACTTTGATGCACGTTTGTTTTGAGGTTTTGATTTATTAGAGATTTTTTTGGGGGGGGTTTAAACTATGACCTTTTTCAAAGAAGCTGCTGCTTGTTTTTGTGAAAAGAAAAATCAGAATCTGTTTTAAATTGCACAACCAGACAGACCTCTTCTTCTATTATTTTTTATTTTCAGTAAGTTTTAATAAAGGATTTTTATTACATATACAGAGAGGAATACTTGTTCTTTTTTTTTTTTTAAGACACCATCTTGCAGGCAAGGCAGGTTTATTTCTGCACCACCAGGCTATTTGAAATACTTAGTAGGAAAACAGATAATCTGAGCTAATGCAAGCTTGAAAGAAATGCATAAAAGTAATATTAGCAGAATGTAGCAATGTAAGTTATGAGCTGAAGGAGAATCTTTTTCTCTGTATCTGATGGATTTTAGGCGTCGTCACTCCCACACTTGACAGAAACCAAAACACAAAAGAAGGCAGACCTAAAACTATGACCTTTTACCTGCATGATTGTTTTGATTCTTTTAAATGGAATAATAGATGAAACAGACACGTGTCATTATAATTAGTAGAAAAACATGAGATCATTGTATGAGCTTAAGTGCTGATCTAAAGAGCAGTGTGAACTTGCAACCAAGCAGGTTTTCTCTTGTAAATCTCCGACTGAAAGAGCTCTGCCTGAGTTTCTATGGGTAACCCTCCGGGGCGAAGAGTACAACTTGTACATCTCTATCAGGTTTTATTTATAGGATCCGTTGCCTTATATCACATTTAGTCTTCCTGTCTGTGGTTTGCTGCCATTTTTGGCGTGGCAAACGTCTTTAAACGTTTGTCATTATGTTTTTTTATGCTGATATGAAGTGCGAGTTGTTTGCTCTCTGGCAGCTGAACGCCTGCAGCTGCCATGCCAGCGCCGTTCCGATTAGACTGTTGGAATATAAACGACTGAAACTTTCGAGACGGAGTGATGAAATGAGGTGAAAGGCCTGCTTCAGACTCGAGCAGCCGTTGAGATTAAATACCTCCACCTCGCTGTGTTGTTGTTCGACAGCTGACTCACCCTCATGTTTCTTGCTACCACCACATCCTGTGACTATTAACCATCCAGGAGGTTCGATGTTTTCGTCAAATAAAATGACTCATTATTGTGTGTTTGTTTTTGCTTTTACTGTGCAGTTGACGATTTTTGTCTTAAACCATGCAATTGTTTTATTGCTGAGGTTTATGTTTGCTGGTTGAGTTTATCTGATCGAGGCCTCTGAATTATTGATTTCATTGTTGCAGCTGATGGTACTGATCCAGTGTTTGACCTTTGCCCAGCCAAGGTCATGGAGGGGTCAGAAGGATGACGGTTATGAAACAGCTTTGTTGGGGTTTTAACTTTCCTCCTGAGGTTTTTGATCACTGTAGGATGTTGAACGCATGTTTTCCTTTAACCAGGAATCAGCATTGAGAGTAAACATGAAGTCACGATCCTGAGTGGACTGAATGAGTTTGTGGTAAAGTTCCACGGACCTCCTGGAAGTAAGAGTCTATATCATTTGTCTTCAGCAGCATACCACAATATTTTACCACATGTGCATAAAGCCTAGTTAGCTTTGACATTTTTAGACTTTATGTAAGCATTTGTGCCTCACAAAAAAAAAAAATCACACCACTTTTTCACATTTTGTTGCATTAAAACCTTAAATTTCTCTGTATCTTTCTGTGTTAGGCCAATTCAACAAATCTCTGGACTTCAACTAGGCCGTTCTAACACATTAATATTCTTTTGCCTTTAGCTATTCTAATGCAGATCTGGCTGCATGATTTGGGTCATTTTCCTGCTGGAAGGCGAACCTCCGCCCTAATCATAAGTCTCTTAACAGTGTCCAACTCTGTCTCGTCTAACCAGATTCCTCAGCCCTTTGGTTGACTAATAATTGACCCTATTATTTTTTTACCTCTGCAGCTCCTCTGGAGTTGGCATGTTCCTCTTGGATGCTTCACTAATTAATCCTCTCCTTTCTCTCAGTCTTGCGTTGTTTCCTTTGTGCTTCCTAATTATGCACATGCATGTGTTGGCTGGCATGAAATGCCATAATCCCACACTTAAATGTTTCTGGTTTAAATGAAGCAAAAGGTGAAAAAGTTTTAACAGGTGTGAATTGTTTTGCAAGACAAAATTATTGAAATGAACACTTATTTGATTAAAATTTTTTAGCACCGTATGAAGGAGGCGTGTGGAAGGTTCGGGTGGACCTGCCAGATAAATATCCGTTCAAATCACCGTCAATAGGTACGGATACGTTTGACAGTTCTCATTTTGTCATGGTCAAATTATAATAATAATGGAAACGCAAAGTGAGAAGATAACTGAGTGATTTTTTTAATGTTAATAAAATCCTTTTTTTTATTTTTCAGGTTTTATGAACAAAATCTTTCATCCCAATATCGACGAAGCGTAAGTTGAGCTAGCTTCTACTTGCTGTGACAGATGTTTGAGCATAAAATCAATCTTTTCAGTTTTCATCACTTATGCTGCTGCTGTGTGTGTTTCTCAGGTCAGGAACCGTGTGTTTAGATGTTATCAACCAGACATGGACGGCTCTCTACGGTAGGTCACAGGGGCGTCAGCTGAAGATCCAAACTTAGATAAACTAATGGTCATGGCCTAAAATTGACCCACGCAAATACACTGTGTTCTAGATTATTATGAGATTTTCTTAAATGGTCAATGCAAATGATGGTCCGTATAATTAATTTTAAAGTCATGAACTATTACAGTATAAATGAAATTTTACTGAACAGTATTTTTTTCAAAAAAAAAAAAGTCAAAATGCACTGTTCAAAATTCTTGTGCACAGCATGTGGACCATCCAGGGTTACACAGCAGTCATCAGTGAACAAGTCTGTTTAAAAAGTTAATCTTCATGTACGGCTGGGCCCATTGCGACTGTTTCTGCTTGTTGGCTCTGGTTTGGGGGCCGAATAGTCGGTTCATGCACCGCAAGCCTCTGGAGGATCCTCCACCTTGAGGTTCCAGAGGCACCAGCAGCTTCAAATCACTGTTTGCTGCTTTGTAAGAGCGTTTGAATCCCATGAATTTGTCTAACAGAAACCTTCCTCATTATGCCTTCATCTGTACAAACCCATCTTTGTTCTGAATCAGCCACAAATCTCTTCACAGTATGATGACAGTGCTTCAGTTTTTATCAAATGTCTAATGTTTTCATATCTTGTCATACGGCACTACACTCTCCGATGATTTTCTATGTCCCATGTTGCTTGAAACCTGTGGCCTGCTTAATAATGTGGAACATCCTTTTTAAGTAATTTCCTTTAATTGAGCTCACCAGGCAAACTAATCAACCCAGCTGTCTGAAATTAATTATAGTGATTCAAAGAGCCCTGACACACAATACCATCTAGAAATTTAATAGCACAACAAGAAATTTAATCTTTATGACACTTAAATCCAATTTACATAATAATTTGGAACAGAATGAAGTGCTCAAACTGGACCTGTCCTGTAGAGCTTTACACTGTTTAATCAGCTTACACTGCAGTGATAACTGCTGCTTGTATTCAGGTCAAGCATTCAGAGCTGATAGATTAGAAAGTCTTGAACAAGTGAGGAAGACATGTTTGGGTTTAGGTCATTTTGTCCATTGGCTGTCTGGGGTCTTTGCAGTTATAGTCAAAAAAGTCTGGCTCAAAATGTCCAGCGTTGACCGAGAGTCGGTTCAGAATCCGCTAGGTGAGAGGGACGGTCCATCTCCATTTCTCCTCGATTCGCACATTGAGATGGTTACTGATAAACAGAAGGTCGACACTCTAGTTCTGTTTTTTTTCTTTAATCAAGTTCTTACATAAATACTTAATTGCCAAACTAATTGTTGCGTGAAAAAATAACTTTAGATAAAATAACACAGCAAGCAAAAACGAGAAGAGCCACAAAGAGAGGAAATATCATTTTGCTGCTGTGCGTCTCAATTATAGATTGAGGGAAGCGTGGGATGTGGTGACACATTTCAGTCAGACGTGCAGGTCGAGATTCGTCGACTCGTTCAGCTGGGTGAAGGACTTTTTGTGGAGGGTTTTACTGGTAAATGTGAGTTGATAAAGTATATAATAGGGATTAAAAGTTTGAGTTTTATGTCCATAAACACGAGACATTGTCTGACAACATAAAAACAGTGTTATATGTCTTGACTTTATCATTGAAAGGCAATATTTTGTAGCTATCTTGGAGGGTCGGGTACGACCTCAAAACTACTAATGACACCAACAACATGAGATTTGTCCTTCTGGTTGGTTTCCTTTTAACTGTGGGTGAGGAGGCCTCTGTTTGCTGTGAAGAAGATGCAGCAAATCCTGTCTCCTGTTAGCTTCCTGTTTGCTCTTCCCCCCTGATTTCTGAGGTTTGTTGCACAACAGACAGCAGCACTAAAACTGAACTGCAACATTGCCCTTAAATACCAGTCAACGGAAGAGGATTTCTGCCAAGTCTGTGGAGAACCATCCAGAAATGAGCTCAGAAAAGGAACCGACCGTGTTTGTAATGAAAACATCAGAATAACCTCGTTACAGCCGAGAGAACCCTGGTGTCTGACGTTGATGCTGTTCTCACTCATTTCTCCGTTCTTTTCTCAGACCTCACCAACATCTTCGAGTCCTTCCTCCCTCAGCTGCTCGCCTACCCCAACCCCATCGACCCTCTGAACGGGGACGCCGCCGCCATGTACCTGCACCGGCCAGAGGACTATAAACACAAGATCAAAGGTACGACGCCTGTGATCAAACTAAAATTGAATATGTCTGCAATTTTGGTTTGATTGGGTTTCAAAAAGCAAAAGTTACTGATCTGATTTTAACTGAGTAGCGTGTGGACCGGATCACTGAGATCATCACTGTGCAGTTGTTGTTGGAGTAGATGTAACTTGTATTGTTGTGCCTGTTAAACCCTTTTACAGACATATTCACATCTCTGGAATATTTCCACATTTTCAAATGCTCCAACAATAAAGTTTGTGTTTTATTGGCTGGTCTTGTTGTCTGCAGCAAGTGGCTTTTTGGTCATTAAACAATGGCTTTTAATATTGGGCTAAAAATGTGCAGAACCACATTTAAATATTTTAACATAGATATAACAAATAAAGATTCAGCTGTTTTTGTTGTTGTTGTTTTTTTGCTTTTGTTTTCTGGTTTTTAAAACTTAAAGACAAATAAAATGGCAGTTCTTTCAAAATGTTAAATTCTAGACATTATGCGTTTTTTACGTCACCTTTCCAAAAAGTGGATGTAAAATTTGTGCCTCTAAATGAGTTTTACTTCAAGTTTTATTTGTAAAAGTTTCACACCTGATTGACCAAAAACAAAGTAGCAGAAAGTTTTGGTTGAAAGTTTTTGCAAGGCAGAGTTTCTGTGCCTGGGTCACAGCAGCGTGACGTTCTGTTTCTGATGGACGTGAAGCTGCTGTGGACGTCAGTTTGGACTCATTTATCTGCTCGTCTCTTCCAGAATACATCCAGAAGTACGCCACAGAGGAGGCTCTAAAGGAGCAGGAGGAGGGCGGAGGCGACTCGTCCTCCGAGAGCTCCATGTCGGACTTTTCCGAGGACGAGGCTCAGGATATGGAGTTGTAGTGAAGGCAGAACCGTCCTTCACCTCACAACGGACTATCATTTCCTAAAGAGCAGAAACTCAGTACTATATTCGTATTTAAACAAACAGGACAATTTTTTACAGTAACACGAGGATTTTTATTGCTACACAAGGTTTTGCAGTTTGGAAAAAAACAAAAAAAACAAACAAACCCCCCAACAATGTTATGTTTAGGAAATCATCACCATCAGCTCCTCATCATCACTATCAGCTCCGCACTCTTCCTCATCATCAGAATGAAGTGTTGCTTTATTTCAGCTGATCTCAACACACGATTTTCACGCTGCACTATAAAACTGATGCGGGACGGCACTCTACACGCTTTTACCACCTTTTTACTTTTGCCATCATTTCCTCTTTAAGGCAGAGCTGGGTGACTAAAACAGAAAGAGAGATTTGAACTTGTTTTTTTTCCCCACTGCCACCTACGAGGAGCTGCAATCATCACAATCACCGCTGCGAAAGGATGGAAAAGCAGCAGCAGGCCACAGTGGGCTCATGTTTTCGGTGTAGAGGCTGCAGACGGTCGTTCCAGGACTGCAGAAAGATGCAGACGCATCACACACTTTCTATGCGCATCATCAGCGTGTGCATGAATCTCATCCTTTGACGTGTTGTGTTGCTCCGATGATGCTCAGCAGGAATCAGGGAGAGAGCGCCGTAATCAATATCCTCTATTTTCGAGCACCTCCTCCTCCTCTCCGTTTCAGGAAAGTGTTTGCCATTCTGAGTATCTTTGTGTGTTGTGGCATGACACAGAAGTACAGACGAGGGTCAGTGGGGATTGTCGTTGAACTTAACTCTGCCTATTGCTTGTGTTGAACTGTCATAGGTGTCTGACATGCGTAGGGATAGTTAGTTTCTTTGCAGGTGGTGAATCCTATCATGATGTATGGTTTAATACTTATATAATGACAAAAGCTTTTCCTGTTCAAGATGTGGAGCGTTAAATCATCTTCATCTGCTGAATTAACCCTTCCAAAGAAAAGTTGCCCCTCATGGAAATGTGTCCCATTGCAGCGCTCTTTGTTTCACATTGGTCACGTTTGCTGTTTCATGCTGTCTGCAGCATGTTTTTTTCCAAAAATATCGGGACCAAAAATATAATTATTTAACGTTCCCCCTAAAAGGTCGAACTCTAAAATAAAAACTTTAAAACGTCTTGGCTTATTGCAGCTGGGCTTCATGCATCTGTGGGCGACAGAGCGGTGAAGGTGTTGCTGTTTAATGTGCTGAGCTCTGAATGCACCGGGGATCAGACAGGAGAGCAGGAATGTGTCAACATCAGAGCCAGTAAAAAATGGGCCATTCCTTGTTGTTTAAAGGTGATTTAATCAGATCTCCTTAAACTCCTCTGGTTAGCTTTTGTACCAAATAGACTGCATGTTGGTGTTAGTCTTAGGACACGATGTCTTCAAATGCAACAGTAACAAAAAAAAACCCACTGTCCAGCCTCTCTGGATGCCATCAGGATTCCTCGCTGCGTTTATTTTCTTTTATTAATTCAACTCATGTTTGACGCCTTTAATTTGTCTGAATGTTTTTATTTTGAACTTTTAAGCCCTGTGTCCAGGATACAGATCCAAAATATTCCGATTTTTAAATGGCAAAAATAAAAAAAAATCAATAAATGTGCTTCCCTTGTAACTTGAAGAAAGAAATAAACAACTAAAAACACGATTATATCTTTTTTGTTTTTGTTTTTTTTCCAATGTGGAAAGAAGTTCATTTGTCACTAATTTAGAAAGCTCAATTTTTCATGTTGGGTAGAAAAAAGGTGGCAGTCCCTGTTTTGTCCACTAGATGGCAGTGTCCGGATGTTTTTCTTGTCAATAACGGCTACTAGAGCCTGAAACACTTTATTAGAGCCTATGAAACTTTTTAAAAACTAAACAAATGGACCAAAAGTCAGAATATAATTACCTCCACATTGTGCTCGTTTCCTCGTGTTAACAACTTTCTTCCATTGTCTCTCATTTTCTCTCTTTCCCACATAATTAACAAGTTACTTAATACATACACACACATGCACACATTTACACGTCCCCTCCATGGCTGCCACCTTATCGTGGTGGGGATTTGAGTGTCCCAGTGATCCTAGGAGCGATGCTGTCAGGGCCTGGTATTTAGACTCCATGACTGATTGGCAAGGAGACACCATTTTAATTGTTATTTAAACTACTTTTTAGTTTTCTGTAGCTAGCTAAAATAATGCTAAATTAAAAATAGATTAATGAAATTAATATAACTAGTTAGGTTATAATCCAAAGCTTTCATATGACATAGCCTATTTACATTTATAAAACTTAATGGTTTTTCAAATATTCTCACCACACACATTTCAAGAAAGAGCTGGGAGATATATCCTGGCCAAATGAATAAAACATGAGGGCAGCATGTACAAAAAAATCTTAAAACATGTTAAAAGAATCTGTCTAAAACACGATCTACCAGCATTAGCATGGCTAATATAATAAACCAGGCAGTACGGAGCGGTGCACAACCATTTTACTTTTTTTCTTTTTAGAAATGTATGACAAGTGCCGCCTCTCATTAGGAAGGTAACAGTGGTTACCGCTGAGCGGTAAAATGCTGTAAATACCTGCAAAACTCCTCAACGGTGGACTCTAAAGCCGCGGGTGTTTTGGATCAAGCAGGAACCGCATGTCAGCTCAACCAATGAACAGCGTCAGTGAGCCGCATGTAAGGTGCTACTGCATCGGGCTGCCTTCAGGGATAGTCGGAAATTACAGTTTTCCTGGCAAATCTTTGCCGATCTCATAAGTATTATATTTTAAAATTACCATTTCCACTGGTCCAAATGAGTTCTACAAGCACCAAACGGACCTTAATGTCACACCCATGTTTTCAAAAATAATCTGTTGCTTTAAATGCTCTCAGATTAAAGCAGAGGGGCTGTTAACATTCTGCAAGGTGGCTCAATGCACGAAGTGTGAACTTCGAGGAAGTGGCCGCTAGATGGCAGCGTAAGGAGCAACACTTTTGCATAAAATAACCTTTATTTAAACCTTCACAGAGTAAAATGGCGTAAATAAGAACCTAAAAATGCACTATTTATCTTTTGTATCAGGACTATAGAAAACTTAAGCGAATGATATCGATTTCCTGCTTTATCAAAACCAAAACGTTTTAATGAACAAAAACCTTTAACACCGAACACACACATCAAACCGACATTTAATGCCATAAAACCCCAAAATAAGACAAAAAGAAAGAAAATAAACTTTTTCTTTCATAAACTTTTTTTTAATTAATCCAGTTGGGGTTAAAAGTGCAGTAGATCATTTTATAAGGCCTGTTATTTGTATGTTTGCACTGAAAAGATCCAGTTGTGAGAGCAAAATCTTGGAAACAAAATATTTTTCTTTTGCTCCAGCAGCTGTTTCTGTCCAGTTTGGCAATAAGGGTCTCACGGAGAAACGACTTCAGAACAGATTAAAACCTTATTAGTCTTTTCATTAAACTCATGCTGATCATGGACTACTGCAACACTGAATGGTGCCGTGATGGAGTCCAGACCAGACCATAATGATCTAATGAAATATTCATCGGCTGTGTGGCCACGCTGCCCCTTTCTGCGCTTATTCTGGTTTCCAGTTGCAACATCAGTGTTTAATTTGGCGAGACGGCCACTCTCAGTAATTAGAGCTCATCCCAGAGTGTTTGCCTCTCTCCACACAGATAAAAAAAAGCACTTTGAGAGCAAATATAAAAGGACTGGGTTGCTTTTTCAATTTACGAACTTATTCACATGTCTGGATTTAAAGTCGTAAAAGGTTTTAATATTTGCGTTGCGTAATGCAAATGACAAAAAAATCAAATAAAATAAACCCGCAAAAATGACCCACTTTTGTGCAGAACTGCGGAAGTATTTTATTCGGAAAAGAAAAAGGTCGTAGCCTATAAACGTCAAGTTTTTTTTTTTTTTTTCGGAGTAACCCGAGAAGCTGGAGGAGCCGCGCAGGGCGCGGAGAGCGACGAGCCTCTGCTGGCCGGCTGCGCCTCCTCCATAATGTATGGAGAGGACAAAGGGAGCGCGGCTGGATTTCAGACTTAACTTTGAAAGAGCCGTAACCCAAACCCGCACTGTCCGACAACAGCGGATCCGCATCAGCTGAAAGGATGATGCGTCTTTTTCCACCTGCAATCTGTCTAATAATCACCGACAGCAGGTAAATGAGCCGCGCGCAGCTCTGGATGCTCGTATAAAACGCGGCGCGCTGGAGGCCTGCGCTTGGAGAAACTTTTGCGCACGCATCGACGACGCGAGAGGGGAGGTCCTGCACGGCCTGGGTGCTGGTGAGTCCAATTGTTTGAGTCCAGAGCTTTACTGGAAAATACAAGAACAGTGTTTGTTGTGTTTTATATTTACTGGATTTCTCCTGATTGGGTAACTTTTCACCGCTATTTAAGACTGAGATACACAAATTAAAGGGTCTAATCTCTGTCTTTCATTCTTTTTTTTTTTTTTTTTTTTTGCAGCCTTCTCTTTTAATTTCTGTTCAGGTTCGCAGCTTACTAGTGTTTTGTTCTTTTCCATTACCAAAAAAGAGAAATTGAAAATACATAAAGAAAGAAACAAAGCAATATTTTGCTCTTTTTTTTTCTTTTTTACTGATTCAGTCTTGGATGCTGAGCCGCTGCATGACAAATTGTTCAACAAAGACAAAAGCATGCAAAGTCTCCAGCCTGAATCTGACTTCATTCAGTGAATAGTTATGTTTAAGCTCATCTAGTGAAGTAGAGGATACATGCTGTCTGAGTTCAGCAGCTTGGAGAAATAGCAAACCGGCACTCTGTGTGGGGATTTAAAAGCGATTCTATTTTGTCTGTAGAAACGTCACCGGAGATGCTGGTGAGTCATTTCAAAAACACTAAAAGTCCTTAAAGAGTTTGTTGCTATATGAAAGAAATACAGTTGTTTTTCAGGGTCATAAAAAGTTCCTTCAAGCTAATGCTACATGTGTTAAAATACTCAAACACCATCTGCTGGCAAACATTTTCTCCTTCGCTTGGTTCAAAATTCAAGCCAGTCCAGCCAGGTATTTATGGAAAGAAAGCATTTCCTACCCGATAAACTTGATGCTCACAATAACAGCTGTGGCCTTCTCAATGGTCTGACTATCAACTCTCTGCCTGATCTATCGATTTGTGGCATAAACTGTGTTGATTCTTTTCCCCTCACATTAAGTTTGTGTCTCAGAGATTCCAGTTGTTCCAGCAGAGACTGAACATGAATCCACTGTTTTACGTCCACAGAGCTCAGTTGCAAAGAAAACCGCTCACTCTGTCCTTTTTTCTATCTCAACAACGAGCATCGGACATCTATGCTACATGTTGCCTTTGAAAATGTATTTTTGGCAAGAAAAAAAAATATTGGTCTTTCATTATTGGGATAGATGTCCGGATGGCATTGCAGTGGCTTTTTGTTCTGGAAGGCATGGCTCAAAACGCTATTTTAGTTCAGGAAGGATGTTTTTTAACAATTGGGATCAGCTTGGGGTCCATACTTGTGACATATTGTCTCTTTAAAATACCTGTGAAGTCCCAAACGTGGAGCTGAAGGCAAGGAATGGTCAAACCTACTGATTAGCTACTAGTCTGTGCAGATTTCAGACAAGTAAAGGAAGGAGATAACTCTATTTATTAAAAATATGCCTTATTTTGAATGTCTCTTCTGGTCCTGTCCTCAAATGTTTATCACACGCTTAGTTAAAAAACAACCTAAATAAACTGGGAGAGTTTCAGTAGTTTAGAATCATGGACATAACATTTTAACGGGCTAAAAATGCAAACTCTAACTTATCAAACCAAGTTGTTCAGAAAAATTATGAGAAGACTCTAGATTGTTTTATTGGTGCTGAACGTTGACTGCAGCCAGTTGCCTAAATAAAGCGAGTGTATTGCTGCAGTGGTTGCTCCCCCCTGTGCAGTTGCCACATAAAACTTTCTGGACGAGCCCCTGGACCTCTCCGGCGTCCTGCAACGGCTCCTCAGGAATGGGCGCCCTGTGCGTAAAGAGGCGCAGCGGAAATGTAGCGTCCCACCCAGGACCACTCATGGAGGCGGCAGAAGGAGAGGGAGGAGGGCGGCGTGGATTACTATCCTGCCTGTGGGTTAAGATGCTTACCAACTAATTACCTGTCCATGAAAATCCCTCGCTGTGCAGCCGAGCAGGCAGGGAAGGACAGTTGGAAATCTGGAGGGAGGATTCGCTGTGGACCGAGGAAATACGAAAATATATCTATTTTCTGATGTGTTGTATATTTTGAAGAGTGGTCGGCTGTGCTGTGTTGCTGCTGGACACTTTTGTTTTTGACTGTGGGAAGAAGCTCCTTTGCTGTAAAGTGTTGACTTGGGGATGTTGGATTATCTTTGTAAGGTAGGAAGCTCTAATCTGCAGGAAGTGACGGTCCTGCATAACTTATGAAAAAACAAAACAAAAAACAAGGAAACTAAGAATTAGTCATTTCTCGTATCACACCTCCACCACGGATGTATTAAAATGTGTCTCTGCAATCTGCTTGTTTTCAGTGGATGCTAACGACATGGTCAGCAATGAACTTATCTGCTGCTGCTGCCAGATCTGATTATAATTTAGCCTCTTTTTCATGACTTCCACTCTCCATCAGCCTGACTGGAGATGTGGGCCTAATAGT